AGGAATAAGAAAAATCATCCTAGACATTAAGTCTGAGGCGCAAGAAGAAGTGGTGAACACCGTGATTAACGTGCAGGGAAATTATTTTAAGCAAATATTATCAGGGTAAAAATCATCATGACGACAGTGTCTAAAATTGTGGGGTCTTATTTTTCCCCAAAGGACAGAATTAAAATAATGGACACGGTAGGTGGTAAGTCAGAAGGGGTGATCAGAATGTTCAAATGACTTACTATTTAGGGCAGAGCATTAAGATCCTGTTCAACCGTAGGTTTTGTTAAGTCAAATACGCATGGTAAGTTTTCAAGGGTAGCTAATAAAGAGTGGTTCTAGAAGTTGGCGTATATCAGAAACACCTTGGGCGGGGACTTGTTAAAATACAGATTATTGGACCCCAGGCCTCAGAGCCGCTGCCCCAGGGACTCTGGGGTGGGATCCTAGAATCTGCATCGCTAACGAGTCCCCAGGTGCCGCTGGGGCCGCACTTTGAGAACCACTGACCCCAAAGCAGAGAAATCAGGTGCCTCCCTCATTTCCACACCAACAGAAGGGGGGAAAGGCGATGGGAAAACAAACAAAACCTTCTGCCTAATCCAGCTCGGTGCAGGAAGAGGATCACGTGAACCACATATGTCATTTTAGATTTTCTAGGAGACCTACCCGTAAAAACGGGTGGAATGGATTTTAACAACTAGGTGATGTAATGTGTAGTTACCACAAATATTGCATATTTCAATATGCGATCCACATAAAAATTCTTGAGATTATGTTTTCTTCTTCTTCTTTTTTTTTTTTTTTGACAAAGTCTCCAGAATTCAGCATGTATTCCATACTGTAGGTACTTCTCAGTGTGGGCGAGCCACGGAGCAGGTGCTCGATAGCCACGTGTGGCGTGTAGCTCCTCGCGGGCCGGAGCCGGTGCGGGGTGTGCGAGCCGTGAGGCTGCAGAGGGCGGAGGCCCCGGCTCGGCCCCCGACCCCCGCTCCGTGCGGGACACCGGGCAGGGCACCGTGAGCGGCGTCCATCCCCTCGCTCAGCCTTACCTAGGCCTGTGACGTTAGACGTTACTGTCCTCCCGTTTCACAGATGGCAACGGTGAGGCCGAGCACATTCCAGACTCTTCCCTGAGAGCAATGGAAGAGCCAGCAGTCAGGCCCCGGCCTCTTCACTCCCGCGCCGACCTCAGAACCCGAAGGTTTCTGAACAGGATTTTGTGTGACAGACCGGAGAGGAAATATTTCAGGCTCTTGGGACCAGACAATATCCACCTGGCAGGAGAACATAGAACCTCTTCTTCCGGACCCACCTGGAAGGATCCAGATGGAGCCCCCTCGGCCTCTGCCAGCAGCCCGGCCGGCCCGCCTCCCCACTTGACTCGACGTGGGAGCTACTCCCCCCGTCAGGGCTGAGACAGAGGGGAATAAAAGCCAGGACTGATGGAACCCCAGACAGAAAACCTGGCCCCGTGATGCCTGCATTTTGGAAGTTGCCTTTAATTAACAGTTTACAACCCCAAAGACGCCCCCCCCCCCCATCGGGCCTTCTGCAGCGTCGTCATGGGGCTCAGTCCTGTGGGGGCGGAGGTGGTGCAGTGGCAAAGGCGTGGTTTGTTCCTAGGAGCCCAGCTGGGCCTCCCGCATGCTCGAGCCGGATGCCACCTGCCACCCGCAGGTGACGACAGGACAGGTGAGGACAGCCGGCTCTCCTCAGCGGCCGGGCCCACGAGCTGCAGAATGACCCCAAAGTATTTGCACACCTGTCGCTCCTGGGGCGCTGCTTCTCTCCTGAAGGCCTCTGCTCTTTGAGTCTCTCTCTGACTCTCGCGGCCTCTCTTCTCCTTCCTTCCTCCTTTCCCTGGGGAGGCCCAGCCACGCGCCGCCCCCGCGCCCCCCCCCCCCCGGGCCTGGGACCCACGAGCCCGCCCCTCACCTGGCGGGGAGCCCAGCCTCTCCCACCCGGACCAGGCCCGCGTCCTGCTGGGACGATGCGTTTGGACCCCGGTGGGCTTGACCCCAAGTGGGACCCCTAAGCTCCTGAGCTGAACTCAAGCCAAGTTCACCCCAGGAAGGCGGCGGGGCTGAGGCAAGTACCCAGTTTCCTACCATCGCTTCCCGTGCGGAGTTCATGAGTCATTAACCGGGGAGGTAGACAGTAGTAGGATCGTTATACCCATGTTATAGATGGGAAAACAGAGGCTTCGAGAGGTCAAGAAATTGGCCCAGAGCCGATGTCTGCTCAACTCCAAACCCTCTCTCCACAGGCCCAGTCCAAATGGACATCGCGGGCTGTGTCTTAGAACTTCAGGTACCCAGATACGACGAGGAGGAGGAGTGATGTTCGTCTCTCACCTTCCCGGAAGCGCGTGACAGAGACACGGCTCAGCGACAGGAATAGCGCAGTGATTCTCGGCTCTCTCCCACCCGGGAGGAGACCCCCGCGGCGTGCCAGGGGTTCACACCTGCAGGGCCCAATCCCTGCAAGCCAAACCTGCCCTGCGGAGCCGGGGACCAGCAGGAGGGACACCTAGGCTGGCGATGAGCGGAAACTCGGGGGCCCCAGACAGGGCTGCAGAGGAGGCTTCTGTTCCCGCATTCCCGGGCGTCATGGCAACGTGTGCTCAGGCTGGCGACCTGCGTGGAGCTCCGTGCCCATCTGCCGTTTCCCTGGGGGCAGGGAAGAGGCCTCCTCCCACCCGAGAAGGGAAACACTATGATGTTCCAGGAGATTCTCAAGCCCTCCCCATCTGGCACAGACAGGCTCCAGCATCCCCAGTCACTGAGGCCCCAGAGCAGCCCAGGGGAGGACGCAGGTGGCAGGGAGCACCACCAAGCCAATCTTATGGTGCTGGAAACCGAGGCCTGAGGCCTGAGGGCTGCCCACCCTGAGTCAGGTGGCTCCTCCTGGGTGGCATCCTCCTGCCCACCCGCTGCATGCTCCGGGGGCGGGGGGGGGCTCTGGGCTTACCAGGTAGAGGCTCGCGGCCTTGGGGAGAAAGGCGTTGGCAGAGCGGGCTGTGTGCGTGGTCCCCAAGCTGACGGAGCTATTTGCAAAGAGTCTACATGACGAGGGCCGGGGAGGGGTGAAGGCACCGGGGAGAGCGGACTCGTCGTAACTCGAAAAAGATTTCTAGGCTGCGTTTCTCCATTTCGAAAATAAATACACCTCAAAAGTAGCATACCTCGCTGCAGGAAACGTGGGAAACAGGAAAGCAGGCACACACGTGCAAATACGCTCGCACACTCACACGGGCACAAAACGATCACACGCACACGTTCACATGCAATTAACCCGTCACCCCTTTCTGCACGCAGGCTTTAGACATTTATCCCAACTAGTATTTTGTACGTGTAAATGCCCACGTATACGCATGCACACACAATTAGAGCTCTCCGTCGTGTACTCCTGTCTACGTCACCTCGAAAAGGCAGCTGGGCCGACGATGCACCTGCTGTCGTGACCTGTCCTTCTTCACTTGGCGATTAGATTATTGTCAAAAATATTCCCCAGTGACGCACCGCTCATTAGGCACATATATTCCAATAACACGAATGAGGCATTGCTCATCATTCAACCTCGCCTCAATAACCATTTATACCGCTTCCTACTTAATTTCTCCAATTTTCGTTAAAAATTTGCACATGTTTGTCATGGAACTTTGATGAGACACGTAAGTACAGCAAGAGGAGAGTAACCTCATCCTTCCCGGCACCCGAGCTCAGGGACTTCGCACGCAGATTTGTAACCACGTGGCCAATTTGATGGATAAGGCTTTTTTTTTTTTTTTTTTTTTTTACGTCGTCATGATCATTTCTAATGTAACAGTATCGGCAGGGTCCTTTCTAACCAGGCCTATTATTTTTTTTAATACTTGTCATTTCTCGCGGTAGTGGGTTTGCGTGGGTGTCTGTAACCCTGCTTTAGAGAAAGAGACTCTCTCTCTCTCTCTCTCTCTCTCTCTCTCTGTCTCGGTCAAGTCTCTGTAGCCTGAACCTGACCCGTTCGTCAGGTGCTGTTACGTCCCACCACGGACCGAAGAGTCGGGCTGGGAAATGCAGGGGGATAAACATTTTCGTCGATGGGGGGCTCCTCTGGAAACAGGTGTGGGTGCAGTAAGCAGTGGAGCCGAGGCTCCGTTTATCCTAAGGAAATAAGTCACCAGACTGTCACCCGGCTGCCCGGAGATGACTGCGCTGCGTCATTCACAATAGCGAGAAACGGGGGATCCCTGGGTGGCGCAGCAGTTTGGCGCCTGCCTTTGGCCCAGGGCGCGATCCTGGAGACCCGGGATTGAATCCCACGTCGGCTCCCGGTGCATGGAGCCTGCTTCTCCCTCTGCCTGTGTCTCTGCCTCTCTCTCTCTCTCTCTCTGTGTGTGTGACTGTCATAAATAAATAAAAATTAAAAAAATAAAAAAAAAATAGCGAGAAACGGGGACAACCCATGCCCGTCAATAGGAGGCAGGCGACATAGAGTACAAAGCATCCCCTGAGGCATCCCGTGCGCCGTAGAAGGAAACCACAGATCTCCCCGGAGGTGGGGGGATGGCCCCCCGCTGGGTAAATGGGAACATCGCGCAGCGGGGAGCACCGTGTCTGCGCGTGGGTCTGTGTGTGTTCGTGAGCGTGGGCATCTGTGTATCCCAAAGACTATTTAACTACAACTAACAGCTGCTGTCTCCGGGTGGCGTGGGATCTGGGGCGACTTTCACTTTCTGGTTTATTTTCATCCTTTCCTGGATTACGTTTTTAAGAGCCAGTTCTTCTGTTGGGGGGCAGGGACCGATTGCTTTTTTAATGGGGGAGGGGCGGCAAAAAAAATGAAACAGGAGCCCGTTGACTCTGGAGAGAAGAAATGAGTGGGGAAGACGCCCTGCCCTCCCCCTGCGCCCGGGAGAGCAGAGGCAGGGGTGCGGCCTGCCCAGGCCCTGCACCCGCCCCCCCCCGCCCCCCCCCGCAGCCCCCCCGCCCGTCTCCCCAGCAGCTCCCGCTTGTGTGTTGCAGATTCGGACAGCCAGTGCAGCCCCACGAGGCAGAGCCTCAGCCTGTCGGAGGGCGAGGAGCAGATGGACCGGCTGCAGCAGGTGGAGCTGGTCAGGACCACCCCCATGTCCCACTGGAAGGCCGGCACCGTCCAGGCCTGGCTGGAGGTGGTCATGGCCATGCCCATGTACGTCAAGGCCTGTGCGGAGAACGTGAAGAGCGGGAAGGTAGGGCGCCTCCGGGATCCCAGCGCGCATCTCCCTCCCGTGACCCTTACCAACCCCGAGCTGGCCTGCCCCACCCCCCACCCCACCCCATCCGGGGGAGGAGGAGCCGTGTTCCAGGAGCCAGCTGAACTGGCCTCAGGCCCCAGTGTCCCCAGTAAATCATCGCATCTCCCCGGCAAGGCTCGTAGCCCTCCGAGCCTCGGCCTCTGCGTCTTTAAGTTGGGTCTCACTTTCCCGTACCCGGCTGGAGGAGGGCAGGACTAGCCAGAGGGCTCTTTTGGTCAGGATGTGATTCCTCCCACCTCCTGGAGCAAGGATGCACCAAGTGCTCTGCGTGGACCCCAGAGAAGGATGTGCAGGGAGACAGGCGGGTGCTGGCCCCCAGCCTCATGCTAACAGACCCCTCCGGGCTCAGCCGCAGCCAGCAGCAGGTCCTAGGGGTCTTGGGCGCCCACACCACACGTCCCCTCTGGGCGCTCAGTCCTCACCTTCCTGGGGAGCAGGTGCTGCTGAGCCTGAGTGACGAGGACCTGGAGCTGGGTCTGGGCGTGTGCAGCTCCCTGCACCGGCGCAAGCTCCGGCTGGCCATCGAGGACTACCGCGACGCCGAGGCGGGCAGGAGGTGGGTCGGCATGCCTGGGCACCCCACCCGGCTTCGTCTCCAGAAGGGACGAAGGTGCACCCCGAGACCTCCAGATCCCACAGTGGGGGGCAAACGGGCACTGTAGACTGGGCCAGGGATGGAGGGTTGGTGGGGTATTCCCCAGGGATGGGGGGGTCAGGTGCTCCCCAGTCCTGCTCTGGGCCAGGCCTCCCCATAGAAAGATGGAGCTACTGGGAATCAGTGAGGTCCCACCCCCATGATCCCCACAGCCGGGAGGCAGGGGGGCCTCACGCACCCCCAGAAACTCCTCTATCCCCGAGGGCCAGCCCAAGCAGGTCGGGAAACTGGGCCAGAATGTCTGCTCTTCCTACTTCCACCTCAACCCCGAGTCTACCCTTCCAGGGGGAGGACGGATGGCGTAAGGCAGGGAGAAGTAGAATGGGACAGAGAAGAAATGGAGCAAAGGGCTTTATGGCACCAACTCCCCCAGAGGATTAGGGCCGGCCCAGAGGGGCTCCTTTAGCAACCACACCTGGGAATGGCCTGCGGTCCCTCTCATCAGGTGTGTCCTGTTCCCGTTGCTCACGCCCCCTCCTGCACACCCCGCCTCTGTCCCATCTCCTGCCTCCCTCCTGACCTTTTTCCGAGCAGGAGCTGCTGGCGGGGGAGCTCATTCCCCAAGCAGCTCCAGGGAAACCAGAACACCCCCCTCAGTCCTCGGCATGAAGAAAGAACTAGCGCACGTAGTAAATCTGACACTTTCTGTTTTTGCATAATTATCTCCTTCACTGGTTCCCCATCATTTTCGTGCAGTTAATTAATCAAACCTGGTGGTGTGTGCTATTATTTGCAGAAGCTGCTTTGTGGATTAAAACGTGAGGGGGCTAAGATGGGGAACCCAGGCTAGTGTGGAAGCAGGAAACCAAAGGCTCGTGTGCGTTCTGCCTTGGGCCCTTGGCGAGATTCCTAGGTGGCCGCAGAGACATGTGAGATCAGATCAGAAACTCAGGTGGCGACTGAAAGCAAGCGAAGCCAGAAGGTGCCAGACTCTTGTCAGCAAGTCAGGACCCTGCGGGACAGGGCTGGGGGTGAAGGCTGGCGGAGGGGAGTGATGGGCAGGGGAGGGGAGCAGCGGGCATGAGCCTGCTTTCTCGGAGGCCTGTCCCTCCCTAGGGCCCCACAAGCACTTCCCGCTCACCACCTCCTTCTAACCAGTGCCTCCCCCCGAATCCTCTGCCACCCAAGCAGGAGCCCCCTCCTGCCCCCTTGTCCCACTCCCAATGTGGTCAGTAAATGCTGCCCGTTGAACAGCATGGGGCTGCCCCTACACCTTGCAAAAATGCAGGATCACTGCCCAAGTTCCCCCCAAAACATGGTTGACCCCAAGAACCCCTAGGAACAGAGATGCCACAGCACCCAGAAGGGTATGGACGCAAATTGGCAGACAGGTGTGAAGGGAGTTTGGAAATTTCCCAGAACCGTGGTCAGGACTGTTTCCGAGGATCCTGTGCCCCCACATCAGACACCCCCAGGCTCCCTGCAGGAGGGAGGCCTCGTTCCCGGCGGAAATCTGGCCTGTCTCTAACCTGCCGTGGCCTTGCCTTGTCTGGGACACGGTTTCTCCACCTGTGAAGTGAAGGGGGTTCAATCAGAACAGCGGTTCTTTTAATTTTTGGAGACCACGGCCCCCTGGAGAATCCGACAAAAACTGTTGACACTTGCCCCAGAGGCGATATACAGAAACTCCACGATTTGCTTTCTGGGACCCTCTGACTCACTCATGGAACTTTCGGTGGGGGCAGCCCGGGTGGTTCAGCGGTTTAGCACCACCTTCGACCCAGGGCGTGATCCTGGAGACCCGGGATCGAGTCCCACATGGGGCTCCCTGCAGGGAGCCTGCTTCTCCCTCTGCCTGTGTCTCTGCCTCTCTCTCTCTCTCTCTCTCTCTCTCTGTTTCTCATAAGTAAATAAATAAAAATCTTAAAAAAAAAAAAAGGGAACTTTCAGGGGCCCGTGACCTCTAGGGTAAAGAACCCCAGTGAGGTCATCTTCAAGAACACATCCTGCGTGGCTTGGGGCATGACATTGCCCTCCCTGGGCCTGGTTCCACTTATCTCTAAAGTACCGACCACCAAATCCACCAGCCCGGTCACCAGTCGCTTTATAGACATGATTCTATTTAACCATCAAAACGGAAATGCGGGGTAGACATTCTGACCCCATTTTAGAGATGGAGAAAGTGAGGCCCGGAGAAATCCTGAATGCAAAATCACACTATGAAATACCCAACTTCCAAGTTGATCCCCTTTCCGTTATCCCGCCGTCACCTCAATGTCAAAAACATCAACGACCCCTACTACTCGTGTTTATGGAACATGGAATGAGCCCAGACTCTATGCTAAGGGTTTCACGTTCTTTCTTAAAAAAAAAAAAAATCTTAATTACTTATTCATGAGAGACACAGAGACACAGGCACAGGCAGAGGGAGAAGCAGGCTCCCTATGGGAAGCCCGATGTGGGACTCGATCCCAGGACCCCGGGGTCACACCCTGGGCCAAAGGCAGACCCTCAACCGCTCAGCCACCCAGGTGTCCTGGGTTTCACGTTCTCCGGTCTCTTTCAGCCCCCACACCTTCTGTGAGGCGGGCACGACTAGCCCCACTTTGAGGACGGCTGGGGCACAGAGACACAAGGTCCCAGAGCCCAGGGTGATGGAGCCAGAGTGGCCTTGTGTTTTCTGTGTTGAATAATGACCTAGACGATATCTAAATTCTGTGCCCAAACTCGGATTTCAGGGCCTAATCCAGCCCCAGTTTGGGGCAGGGAAATGTCAAATTTTACAAAACATCTGAATTACTTTTAAAGTCATGCCGTTTTCTTCTACTTGGGCGCTTGCAATAGCTCAGACCAACAGCTGGGAAAGTGTTGCCAAGCCGAGGCCCCATGGGGACAACTTTAATGAAAAGAACCGTTCTGAAGGGCAAGAGTGCATTAGCTGTCAGCATGCGGATGGATATTGCTGACTCTAAATGGCTTCCCCCAAGTAGCTTCAGCCAGGGGCCCCTCTCACCCTCCCACCCTCACACCCCATGTCTTGTTGCACCATTGATTTGCTGAGCGAACCCTCCCTCGGACTGGAGAAGGGGGCTTCTGGTCCCCACCAGTGACAACCGGGCCCCGTGGCACCTGATTCAGAGGGCTGGGAGCTCCAACTCGGGGCCCCGGGCAAGAGAGCCATGACAGTGGCAGATAAGCCTGGGAAGGGCCACTCTGAAGTGACAGGGCTGGAGCCCAGCCCCCATGAGGGGGCCTGCCTGGCACTTTTCCTCCCTAGAGGGGAGCTTGTCTTGGATCAGAAGTTTCCAGTGCGGGAGCCCTGTCCTGGGCGGCCTCCTGGGGGACTGGAGTCAATGCCCCCTCACCCGGCCTTGCTTTGTCTTCTGTGCATTGGACCATAGAGCAGAGGCTGTGGAGCACTAGGCCAGAGCCAGGAGGGGAGCCACACCCGGTCCCGCCGTCCAGGAGCGGGCCGTCTGGTGGGCCGCTGGCCAGATGAGCAGCAGGGTGACAGCGGCAGGGACGGGGCCTCCCAGGGGGCTCTGGGTGCAGAGGCGGGCTCTGACCCGGCACGAGCCCTGTCGGACTCAAGCAGGTGAGGGGGGTGGTGTGGGGTGGAGCACGGCCCGGAGACGAGGAGGCCTCGGGGCAGAGCCCAGCGGTCCTGGGGGGCGGAGGAGCAGGAGGCAGCGGCCACGCGGGGAGCCATCCCTCCTTTCTCCGGCGGCTCTCCCGGGGAGGCTGTGTGTCGAGACGAGGCCGGCCCTTCCGCAGAGTCTCTGTGCTCAGATCACTTCATTTTTTAAAGTTCCACGTGTGATCGGTGCTTTGAAGGGAATCCTTAGAGGCAGAGCCGCAGGCCGGGGGGGCAACGTCAGACGGAGCCGTCAGAGCAAGCCTCTGCGGGCAGGGGAGCAGGGAGCCAGCGCAGGGCTGGGAGGCAGTGGGCCCGGGGACAGGCCAGGCCCAGCACCCCAGGGGGCCAGGAGCTGGGTGGGAGCACCCGAAGGGCCTGGACGTGCCCCCTGAGCCCCGAGGGGAGGCCCGACCCTGCTGGGGCCACTCCAAGGACTTGTGACGTTACGTCCGCAGAGGGCAGCCGGGAGAGGCTTCTTGTTTTCTTTTGCTCTACTTAGATCTCCTCTTTGTTCCTTTTCACCCTCTTTTGCTGACTTTGTATTAATTGAACGTCCCCACTGCTGGCTTAGGAGCCATACGTCTTTGTTTCACGTTTCATTGTTGCTCTACAGTTTGTAACACGCCTCCTTAGCTTCACACTGTCTTCAAATAATATCATACAACTTAGTGTACAGTGTAGGATGCGTTTCCCCCCTGCCTTTGTGCTATTGTTTTCATACATTTTTATCTGTGTGTACTAGATGCTCCGTAATAGTGGTGTATTTTTCTTTTAAATTGTCCGTTATCTTTTAAGGAGATTAGCAAATGAGAAAAATACTTACCCAGATATTTACCATTTCCAATCATCTCTATTCCTTTAAAAAAAATTTTTTTTATTGTGGTAAAATACACATATTTATCATAGTAACTCGTTTTTTTTTGTTTGGAGAGAGAGACAGAAAGGGTGGAGGAGGGTCAGAGGGAGAGAGAGAATCTTAAGTAGGCTCCATGCTCAGTGTGGTGCCTGACATGGGGCTTGATCTCACAACCCTGAGATCATGACCTGAGCCAAAATCAAGACTCAGACACTTAATCGGCTGAGCCACCCAGGTGCACCCCCCATCGTAACTGGTTTTAAGTGTACAATCTTAATGATATAACGTACACTCACCTTGTTGTGCAGCCATCACCACCCTCCAGTCCAGGACTCTCTTCATCTTGTAAAACTGAAACCCTATGCTCACAATAACACAATAAACACCAACTCCCCGTTATTCCCTTCCCCCCTGTATGGTGGCAACCACTCTTCTATTTTCTGCATTTATGGTTTTGACTGCTCTCAGTACCTCATTTAAGTGGAATCACACAGTAGTTGTCTTTTTGTGCCTGGTTTATGTCACTTAGCATCACGTCCTCAAGATTCATCCACGTTGTAGCAGGTGTCATTTTCCTTTTTAAAGCTGAATATATTCTACTGTGTGTATCTAGCACTTTTGTTCATCCATTGCTCTGTCGGTGGACACTTGGCGGCTTCGACGGTTTAGCTACTATGGATAGTGCTGCTGAACATGGTGTAACACTTCTTTGAGACCCTGCTTTCGATTCTTTTGGGTATCTACCCTGAAGTGGAATTGCTGGATCATATAATAATTTTATTTTTAACTTTAGAGGAAATGCGTACTGTTTTCCCCAGTGGTTACACCATTTTAGATCCTCACCAACAGCGCACGAGTATTCTGATTTTACCACACCCCCAACAACACTTGTTTTCCGAGATTTTTAGCCATCCTAATGGGTCTAAAGTTGTATCTCATTGTAGAGAAATTTGCGTTTCCCTAACAGCTAGTGATGGGCATCTTTTCCTGTGTTTATTGGCCACCTGTTTGTCTTTGGAGAAAGGTCCATTCAAATCTACCCATTTCCAGATCCAGTGGGGTTTTTTATTGTGACTCCTAGGAGTTCTACTCTTTATTCTTTTGTGTGGGCCAAGTTTCCGTATGGTTATTATTTTCTTGCCTCTTGGAGAAAGTCTTTCAGCATTTCCTGCAGTTTATTTCTCTGATGACAAATTCTCTAAATTTTGTTTATTTTTTTAAAAAAAAGTCTTCTTCCTCCCTCATTTTTAAAATGAGCTTGAATTTTTAGAGCAGGTTTAGTTTCATGGCAAAATTGAAAAGAAGGTACAAGAGCTCCCACATCCTCCCTACCCCCTCTCCCCCATAATCCACATCTCCCACCAGATGGAGCATTTGTTACACGATGAACCCACACTGACACCTCACGATCACCCAGAGTCTATAGTTTACAGAAGCGTTGGCTCTTGGTGTTGTACATTCTGCGGGTTTGGACGAACATATGATGACATGCATCCATCATGACAGTATCGTACCCAATAATTTCGCTGCCCTAAGAAGTCCCCTGTGCTCCACCTGTTCATCCCTCCCTCTCCCGAACCCCTGGCAACCACTAATCTTTCCACTGTCTCCATAGTTTTGCCTTTTCCAGAATGTCATACAACTGGAATCACACAGTATGCAGCCTTTCGAGATTGGCTTGTTTCTCTTAGTAACGTGCATTTAAGGTTCCTCCACTGGAAGGTTGTAAGCAGAGGAGGGACACGATCTGACTGATGTTTTTAAAAGACCATCTGGCCACTGTGGGGAAAGTGGATTAGAAGGAGCGAGCGGGGGAGGGCGGGGGAGAGGGGATACAGGGGGGCGGCAGGGAGAGAGTAAGGAGGCAATTGCAGAAATCTGTGCAGGTGGTGGTGGTAGCTTGAACCCAGAAAAGGAGAAAAGAGGACACACATGCTGACCAGTGTGACTGATGGACCTGGTGGGGGAGAAGAGGACAAATGAGGACCGGGAGCCAGTGATGGTGGGGGAGGGCAAGAGCTGGGAGAGGGGACAGGGCATTGCATTTGGAGCCCATTAAATGTGAGCTGTGGGACAGGAGATGCCACAGGGGCAGTGAGTGAGCAGCTGAGCTCAGAAGAGAGGAGCAGGGGTGCCGAGAATTCAGGAGTCCTCGTTTACAAGTGTAATCCAGAGCCCTGGAAATGCGTGCCACCGGGACGGAGAGCGCGGGGAAGAAGAGAAGGAAGGGGCCGGGAGGCAGGAGGGGCCCACTCTAGGGCGGCGGCCGTCCCACGCGCGGCGGGGGGTCAGCAGCTGTCCAGCTCGCAGTGGAGGAGTGGAGGGAGGAAGGACAGTGAGGAGCCACAGGGGAGCCCCAGCAGGAGGGGTGCTGGCTGCTGTCCTGCCAAAGGGATTGGGGAGGGCTCAGAGGCGGGGCCGGGGGGGGGGCATAGGAGGGCAGCGTCCAGGGAGACTCGGAGTTGCCCGGAGTGAGCCGCGGGGAGGAGAAAGGAGAGTCTGAGTCCAGCGGAGGTGAAAATCCCACGGGGGTCTCCAGCTAGAGACATGGATGGGTGCACAGGGAGCAGGCTGGGAAGCGGGTGAAGGGTATTCTATGGGGGCTGGGGTGGGGCGGAGAATGCTGGTCCCCATCCCAGACCTGGGGAGGAGGGAGTGGCTCTGTGAGCCCCGCATTTCCCTGTCACCTCCTGACCCCCTCCTGGGGTCCCTACCCCGTCATCTCTCAAGTCACCGGCAGGTGGACTCGCTGTTCTCATGCCTTCTGTGACGCTGCCACCGTGTGGCGACCGGGGAAATGCCAGCGCAGGGGACCGCAGGCCGCACGACCGGTGCCCCCGGACTGCGCAGCCCGAGCGAGGATGTGGGTGCGAGGGGGGCAGATGTGAGTTAGGCGGGGAGGAGAGAGGGCTCGGAACAGGCAAGCCAGGGGGCTTAATTCTGATTCCAAGGCGCCACAGTGTGGCTCTGGGCGAAGCCGGCTTCTGGGGCTGTCGAGGGAGGCGAGATGGCCCAGGCCACAGCTTCGTGGGCTCAGGGGTTCTGGAGCCGAGCAAGGCCCGGGGCCACACCCGGGGGCAGCCCCAGGATGCTGCGGGCTCCCGCGGTGCTGCTTCAGCCGCACATGGCCCTGGTGCTCGCTACGGTCCCCTCCCGCCGGTGTCTGAGTGTGCCCTGCTCCCTTTCCCTCTTCCCTCTGCCTCCCTCCCTCCCGATCCCTCTTCTGCTCTGTGGGGCTCACTCTCTGTTTCTCTGTCTCTGTCCATCTGTCCATCTGTCTCTGTCTCTCTCTGTCCACTCCCTGCATCCGCCTCTCCCCTTCTCTGCTTTGTCTCTCTTCCTCTCTGCCTCTTCACTCCATCCCCTTTTCCTTCCGTCTCTGTAATTGCTCGGTCCCCCGCCCTACCCCACCCGATCTCGCCCTATTATTTTCCCTCTATCTTCAACTCTGCCCATCTCTGCCCCATTTCTACCCGTCCCTCTGTTTCTGCCACCTGGCCCCACCCGTCCCTCTCTCTGGCCATGTCTGTCCTCACCAGCCTGTCCAAAGCCGCTGACCTGGACCATCACTGGGTGGCCAAGGCCTGGCTGAATGACATCGGCCTGTCCCAGTACTCTCAGGCCTTCCAAAACCACCTGGTCGACGGGCGAATGCTGCATTCCCTGATGAAGCGGGACCTGGAGAAGCACCTGAATGTGTCCAAGAAGTTCCACCAGGTCAGCATCCTGCTGGGGATCGAGCTGCTGTACCAAGTGAACTTCAGCAGGGAGGTGAGGACCAGGGCAGGAGGTGGAGGTATCTTCCACAGCCCTACTTTCCCCACTGGCACCCACTGTCTGTCCATCCATCCCCCTGGCCATCCTCACACCCATCCACACACACATCCATCCCCCTGGCCATCCTTACACATATCCACACACACATCCATCCACTTGCCCATCCTTGTACCTGTCAAAATACACATCCATCCACCTGTCCCTCCATGTACCCATCCACACATGTTCCCATCTACACATGCATCCATCCACCTGGCCATCCTTACACCCATCCACACACACATCCATCCACCTGGCCATCCATGCACCCATCCATACTTGCATCCCTCCACACACACATCCATCCCCCTGGCTATCCATGCACCCATCCACCTAGCCATCCATCCACTTAGCCATCCATGCATCCTTCCTCTCTCCCTTCCTTCTTCCAACAGCTGTTTACTGGGCATGGGTCATGCCCTGTGTCCAAGTAGGGGAAGTAGGGAACCCTCATCCTCCAAGAGCTCACTGTTTATCAGGAAGAACCACAAAAGCCTGGTGCCACCATACCATGGAAAGCTGGCCCAAGGAGAGAACTCCAGAGTTTTATGAAAACCCAAAGGTGTAACTTCCAGAGGAATCAGAGAGGGCTTCCCCAAGGTAGTGACAGCTGGACTGAGATCTGAAAGAGGAATTCCAGGTATCAATTAGCAGGCGGTGTGAGAGAAAAGCAACCCAGCAGAGAGAACAGCACAAGCAAAGGCCCAGAGGACAGATGATGGGTCCGAGGTAGGGGCGTGAACAAGGCCAGCCAGGAGACCATGGACCCAGAGAGGAGAGTCAGAGTTTGGACTCTGCGTGCCCCCTTGATTCTGAGCCCTGCCAAGTCAGACAGTATGGGGCATCTGCTTCAGCTCCCCCAGGATCCAAATATTCCCAGATCGCTGGGCCCTGCGAGGAGGGTCAGCCCAGAAGGCTTACTTTTCCTAGAGTGATGTCAAAGTACCAGCCGCTCAGGGTCAGGAGGAGACACTGAGGAAGGAGCTGTCCATGCTTCAGCCCCTCTAACACACCCACCACAGGGCCCTGGGCATGGGGAGTGGCGAGGCGCGGGCCCTGGTCGCCGACCCCCAGAACCTCACTCTGGTGAAGGAGGCAGATGTGCAGGAAGATTGTGACAGTAAAGTGTGGAAATGGGCGTGGTGCATTGGGGCTGGTCAGGGCACGTTGGAGGAATCCGTGGGCCAGGGGGTCCCTGTCTCCACCACCATCCCAGGAGCCCTTTGTCTGAGAGCCAGCCCCCCAGAGGCTGGTGAAAGGGGACCAGGCTGATCCCTCTACAGGTCACCATAGGTGATGTTTTGTACCAGGGAGACACTTGTTGCCCCAGGGGCTGGGGGAGACGCGCGGGAGACCCGCGGGAGACTTAGCCCCTCATGGAAGAGCCGCATTGTTGGACACCTATTCAGCAGGGGCTGGAGGGGGTCTCACCCAGCCCTCCACCCCCAGAAGCAGGCTTCTCCCCATTTCCCAGAGTGAAAGGCCAAGCCCCAGATTGACATGGCCAGAGAAGCCAGGGCTCGCCAGCCAGGACTCCTCCTTGTACTGGCATGCTGGAGTCCCCCCAGCACTGTGGACACTCATCCCTTGTGACCTCTGCATGCCCCCCTCCAACTGACCCATTGTCTCCCCCCACCCCATCCCAAGGCCCTCCAGGAGCGCCGTGCCCGCTGCGAGACACAGAACATAGACCCTGTGGTCTGGACCAACCAGCGGGTGCTCAAGTGGGTGCGGGACATTGACTTGAAGGTGAGTGAGGGGCTGGGGAGCTGGGGTGACTCACAGGCATATACACATCCCATGCACATCTGTGTGTCCATTTTATGTTGCCAGGCTGGCAAGAGTGCCTGCCTCTTGTCGCTCAAGAAGAGGGGCATCCACCCCTGCAGTGGGACCCCCCCCCCATTAATGATGCCTTTCTCATAGCAAGAGGGGTGGAGAGGCTGGGCTGTTCTCTGAAAAGAGGCTGGGGTTGAATCCAGGCTCATCTCATTAGACAGTATTTTTGGGCTGCCTGCCAAGATCTGGAGATACATCAGCGACAAAATAGTCTTGGTCACTGTCCTCATGGCCCTGAAAGAGTTGGGGGATCCCTCTAAGACTTAAACTAATGGTCCCCAGGGGCACAAGCCCTTGCTATTGGGGGCAGGCCCCCCACTTGGAGCTCAGGGCACCTCAAGCCAGCAGGCCAGGTCCTCAGGACACCTCAGGACAACAGGGTGGCCCACTTTGACCAGCAAGGCAGGACACCAGGGCAGACCTGTCAAGCTAACAGGGCAGCCCCCCACCACAGGCTAACCAGCCCTGTGCCTTGCCCTCAGGAGTACGCAGACAACCTGACCAACAGCGGCATTCACGGTGCTGTGTTGGTGCTGGAGCCCACGTTCAACGCCGAGGCCATGGCTACTGCCCTGGGCATCCCCAGCGGGAAGCACATCCTCCGGAGACACCTGGCAGAGGAGATGAGCGCCATCTTCCACCCGGCTAAGTGAGTGTGGGCTGCAGAAGCAGGTGATCCTGACTACCTCCTGGGCCCCTCACTCCCTATATCCCACTTCTTCCCCACAACACCCTGAGGCTCCAAGAAGCAAAGTGCTTCATCCTGAAGATCACAGCCAAAAAAGAGGCAGAGGAGTGGTCAGGTATTGAGTGAAGTGTGTAGAGAAATCCCCCAAACCACCCAGGTGTTTAGGGAAGGGAGAGCGAGCAGCACAGGTGTAAGGAAAGGCCATGCAAGGGTGGGATTTGAGCTGGGGAGGAGTCTCACTGGCTGGAGAGGTCAAGGTGGCCAATTCCAGGCAGGGAGAGCTGGTGAGACAGAGGTTTAGAGGCAGGGAGGAGCATAGCAATGGGCTGACGGTCCAGGTGAGAGGCCATGTCCACCTACCTACTCCAGTCTCCTCATCTGAAAAGTGACCAGAGAAGAAGAACCTGGACAGATAAACCAGACCCCCTCCCAGTGGGTTCTCTCCTTAAATTAATTACAGTTAAGCTAAAGTGACCATTTACTGGATACTTGCTATGGGCACTAATGACAATACCAAGAAATCGGTATCACTCTCCCTCCTTCATAGATGGAAAAAACTCATTCGAAGGGACGAAGGTACTTGCCAAAGGTAACACAGCTAGTAAACAGCAGACCCCAGATTTGTCCTTTGCTCTATTAATATCACGTATTACATTGGTTTTCATATGTCCGACCAATCTTGCATTCGTAGGGTAAATCTCACTTGGTTGTGGTGTAGAATCCTTTTTATATGTTGCTGGACTAGGTTTGCTAGCATTTTGACGAGGACCTTTGCATCTATATTTATAAAGGATGTTGATCTGTAGGGACATTTTCTTGTGAGATTTTTGTGTGGCCTTGGAATCAGAGTAATACTGGTCTCATAGGATGAGTTAGGAAGCATTCTCTCCTCTTCTGTTTTTTGGAAAAGTATGTGAAGAATTGGTGTTCATTGTTCTATAAACATTTGGTAGAATTCACTGGCGAAGCCACACGATCCTGAGCTTTTCTTTGTGGAAATTTTTGTTTGTTTTGGTTTGGGTTTTTTGCTACTTCAATTTTATCTGTTATAGATCTATTCAGATTTTCTTTTTTTTTTAAATTTTTATTTATTTTATGATAGTCACACACAGAGAGAGAAAGAGGCAGAGACACAGGCAGAGGGAGAAGCAGGCTCCATGCACCGGGAGCCCGACGTGGGACTCGATCCGGGGTCTCCAGAATCGCGCCCTGGGCCAAAGGCAGGCGCCAAACCGCTGCGCCACCCAGGGATCCCCGATCTATTCAGATTTTCTATGTCTTCTTGAATCAGTTTGAATAGCTTGTATCTTTCTAGAAATTTGTCCATGTCATCTAGGTTAGCTAGTTTGTTGGCATACAGTGGATTATATAAGCATTTCCCTATAATCTTATTTCTGTAGTGTCGGTAGTAATGTCTCCTCTCTCAGTCCTGGTTTCAGTAATTTGAGTCACTCTGTAATTCTTGGTCAGCATAGCTAAAGCTTTGTCTATTTTGTTGACAGAGCTCATATGTGAATCTGAGGCTCTCTGAGTCAGAACTCTGAGTGTTGAACCCCCAAACCACATGAAACCTCAGGAAGCAGCAGGGCCACACCCCATGTTATACAGAAAGTGAGGTATGGGGGGGGGATTGTGCATCCGTAGCAATGATCCAAAAGTCCTGAACTGCTCTTCCCCATAGGCAGGCTAATATCCAAGGGGTTCTCAAAATGAGGTTCACAAACTCCTGCAACAAAATCATTGGTGCTCTTGTGAAATACAGATCCCCTGGCCCTATTCAGATCTACAGGACCAAGATCTTCTGGGAGAGCCCAGGAATCTACATTTTGGACATTTTGAGGTAGCTTCTTGGAGACCAGAGTTTGACAAGAACCCCCTATTCCATGAGCTATGAATCAACAGCGTAGGAAAAGGGCTTTTCTCCTAAGCATTGTCCACCTTCCTGAACCTTCCTTCTGGAGCCATGTGACCTCTAAAGGCCTTAATATATTCTGAGCCCTGGAGGGGCAGTGCTAGCTAAACATTAGTGGGCATTCGTGTGCCTAGTTTAAACCCTTGACCACCCCTGAAGTAACAGGTGCATCAAGGACTATCTAGGATTCATGGGTGAGCACTCATGGGGCACAAATAGGGTGGCTTCTTACATTGTCGGCAGGCCAGGGATTCCTTTACCTTCCAATATCAGGATAAGGAAGAGGAAAGTGGACTCCTTGGTCCTCCTCTTCATTTTATAGATGAGGAGTCTGAGCTGGTCAGCCGGGGTCTTGAGAGGCAGTGCCAGCCCAGACCCCAGGCACGGCTCCCTACTGTTACCTCCGCACAGTGCTGCTCTCTTACACGTGTCTGCCCGTGGTCCGTGTGTCAGGTCTCCGTGTCACATTTTGGAGCACTTTGCTGAGAACACAGGCCAGGGGGGAGCAATTTCAGTCAGCTTGGGGAGAAACAGAACTTCATGAGTTCCTAAGAAATTTTAGAGACCACCCCTGTTGGTACAAGAGTCCCCAGCTAAACAAAACACCAGTGGAGATGGTGATCCCCTGGCATGTGGTTAAATATTGTGGTGATGTTTAACCACATGCTGGGGATTATATTAACCAGGCTCTTCAGGCTTTGCCCCAGGACATCTCTGCAGAGGTCCAAGCAGTGAAGCTGCCCTGTCCACTGCCCTCCTGCTTCCTCTCCTTCTGTTGCTGACTTCAGCTTTCCAGAGAGAGGTGGGGCAAGGCAAGTGGGGCTGGCTTTTTGGGGTGAGTCCTTCCAGAATGCCCTGATTGAGTGGGAAGATTCAGATGGAGAAATATCCCTAACTATTGAGTAGCTCTCAAGGGCTAGCTCAGGACTCCATCCCAGATTGAACCCAAGGCTGGGGGACCCTGATGGAAAAATAAGGTGAAATGACACATAATGCAATTGGCAGAGGAACCAGGGCACTGTGAGGTGTCCAACAGTGCAACGATTATCAATTATTACTCTGAACTCACCACCTGCACCTCCACTGCTGCCTCCCTTTCTCCCCCCACAGGGAAATGGCTGGAACGTGGGTTCAAATCCTGGCTGTGCCGCTTTCTAACATGTTAGACACAAGCGGGTGATTCCAGGCCTCTGCACCTCAGTGTCTCATCTGTAATATGGGAACAGGAGCCCTCCCTTCCCGGCAGCTCTGTTAGCAGAGTTCAGTGAGGCAAACTGTACACAGCGCACCTGACACAGACCCCCCCAGCACCTAATTGCTCAGGCCCCCGACCTCACACGAGGACCAAAGCATCTCCTTGATGCACTTTCCTCTGGATTTGGTTGCCCAGGGCGCCCTTCTCCGGGGCTGTGCTCCAGCTTCCTCCTTAGCATCGCAGCAGGGAGGAGCCTTTCCTCTGTGAACTTGGACATGCTTCACCGTCCAGCACACGGAATAAGAGGCCTTGCCACATCTCCCGCCTCTGTGGCTGGCAGGCTCCCCAGGCCACAGAGTCGGGGGTGGGGGGTGCTCCAAGTAGGGGTGGGAGGGGCATGCTGAGATTTTCGGGCACCCATGCCAAGGTGATGTGTGGTGACATCCTGCCACCCAACCCCTAGCAGTTACTGAAATGTGGGCCTAGAGACCAGGCCCCGGACCATTCGATGGTGGTCCCGTGTACTGAGGGGCCACAGCAGGGCCTCTGGGGCTCCATCTCTGGCTTCTCCATCTTCACCATCTGTGTAATTTCAGGCAAGAAACCTGCCCCCCTCTGAGCCTCAGCTGCTCAATTTGAAATGGGGATAATCACTCCTTCTCAAGCTTTCCGGAAGGGTTCAAGCACCACACACGGGTGAGGACCTGGCTAACACCCAGCACCCAGGAGGTGGCCATTCATACTCTTCCCTTCCCCACCTCCCTCGTCTCCACCAGAGCACAGCATCTTGTACCTCATAGGCCTTAAAAATCCTCATTTGATCGGGTCAGATTCAACTCTCAGGTGGGCCTGCAGCCAAGGCTGATTCCCACCCCTGACCTTCCCTCCTGCACCATGATGCCTTTTTAGGGTCCAGGATACCCTCTACATTGACTCCAGAAACCTCACTGAGATGCCGGGTCCTCCAGAGCCTACCTTTATCAAAACGCGTCCTTTCAGCATTCCGTCCCCTCAGGGTCTGACGATGTGACTAGAAATACACCAGAGGCCATTTCTAGCCTCCAAAGGCCTTCATCTGGTGCTTGGCTTATTCCCCGAAGCATTGATGTTTTCACCATTTTAATCCAAAGGAGGAACTGGGGTGGGATTTCAGCTGCGGTGGGAAAAGCAAGAAGGAGAGAGCTTTTGGCATGGTGGTGGCGGGGGCCATCCCGGGCCCCTCCATCCTCCCCGCTTCGTCCTCCACAGCACTGGTGTCCTCACGGGCAAATTTCATCTATAAAAGGTTGGACAGTAAATACGGGAGCACCTGAGAACCATCTGGTCTGTGTCAAACGTAAAGCACCCCGAAGAAAGCGGGCTTCCACAACATGTGAACCAATGGGCGTGCCTGGGTTCCAATAAAACTTTATTTGCAAAACCAGCTAGCCAGCCAGGTGCCGCTTGCCGAGTCCCATTCTAACGGAAGCCCTTGATGCTTTAACACAGAGAAGGGAGTAACGGGGTCACTTCAGGCATCAAGTTCGTGGAGTGGGGGACACAGATTTCAAATGCAGAGTAAGGGGGATTTTCCTGATGCTCCTCCAGTCGTGCCAGTTAGCTCAAATGTGGGCCTTCTCCCATCAAGCCTCCCCTCTCCTGGCAAGGTGTGCAGCACCCTGGAGACCTCGGAGTCTCACAGACTTGGGTTCAGATCTCGGCTCGGCCGCTTGCATCTGGGTAACCCTGGGCAAGTCGCTTAACCTGCCTGAGCCCTCCCATCCCGTTGCCCCAACTGTCATGCAGGGCTGTTGTAAGGGTTGCATTCATACAGTGCTCAGCACGGGGTGGCACGCAGGAGGGACGCGGCAGATCACAGCAGTTAAGGCCACTGTCACCTGCGTGAGTGTGCATGAGTGTGCGTGTCTCCGGGGGCTGGCAGCCGCCTGGGCCCCCTCCCCCTGCACTGCTGACTCAGAATGGGTCTCTCCCCAGCTCCTCAGGCATCCGGGAGGCTGAGCGTTTCGGAACACCCCCCGGGAGGGCTTCCAGCATCACCCGGGCGGGCAAGGAGGAGAACAGCGGTGGCATCAAGTACAAGGCCGGCCGGGTAAGTTACGGATGGCTTCGGCTGAGAGTCTTGCACCTGGGCAAGGTCTTTTTTTTTTTTTTTTTTTTTTTTTTGTCATCTGGGCCCTTGGTGCTGCCTCCCACCTCCAATCTTGGCCTGAGGAGGGAGGGGGGGCCAGATCACAGGTGCGACCAGGAGAGAGGAAGCCACCTTCAGTTGACTTGCGTGATGCTTAAGCCCCCAGCCCACCCCCACCGCAGGCTTAGAGTGGGTCTCACCTGCCCGCATCTGAATCACCTGGGCTGTTGCTTAACAAGCAGATTCTGGGACCCATCTGGGCCTCCTGAAGCCACGGGCCTCTGGGGTGACGGGGAACCCTGCAGGCAGCCAAGCTGCCCAGACTCCGAGAAACACTGACTTAGCTCTTGAGCTCCAAGGACCCGGCCGACGGCCGACAGCCGCAGGTTAGGCTCTGGTCTGTGAAAGTGCATCAGTTTGCACCTGTTCGCGCAGACCCAGGCTGACCCAGGCTGACCCAGGCTCCTCGGTGGAAGCGCGTAGACGCAGAGGGAGAGGCGGATAATCCAAAACTTCTCCTTCGTTCAGCAAACATATTTGGGCCCTGACTGTGTTTGAGGCACCACCCTAGGCATGAACGGGGACAAGCCTGACTGAGCCCCCACCCTCGCTCACGGCGCCCTCCATCTAGAACGTGTGGTCTCGAGTGGGATGAAAGTTGGTGCCGGGGCGGGAAGGGAGGGGAACAAACCCCTCACTCTCTCTACGTGTGAGGCGCAGTATACGTACGGGACGTGAAGAGAAGCACGGTGTATCTGCCGTGTGGAAATTTCATGGTGGGGGCGTGATTGGGGGAAACGTCTCTAAAAAGGCTCCTTTTTGAAGGTGGCAACATTGGACAAAAGGTTGGGAAAACCCTGGTCTGGAAACAAAAGCAGTCAAGGAACTAAAGAGTTCCAAAGCGCTGTCAGGATCATTGTCACAGAGGGATGTTCAAAATAAGAGGTAAACAGGCACCGGGAGCCTGGTCCTATGACAGCGAGAGCCCTTTGCCAGCACCTTGCCAGGCGCCGTACAGATCCAATTTCTGCTCTTTGACCTCAACTCGGGGAGGAAGGAAGTGCTATTCCCACTCCGAAGCTGAGAAAGCAGGGGCTCAGAGAGGGCAGGTGACCCCTCCAGGGTCACGCAGCTGGGAGGTGGCAGGGCAGGGGTCCAAAGCCCGGCTTGTGAGTCTCCCAAAGCCACGCTCTTTCCACCACCCCGGCAGGTGCTAGAACATTTCTTCCCGACCTGGGGGCGCAGTCAGACTTCAGGCCCATGTGCAAACACCCTGGCCTCTCCCCCATCACACCCGTCCCCGACTCTCCGCCCGCTGGCGAGGGAGATGGGAGGCTCTTGAGGACAATCAGAAAGACCTTATTTGTCCTCACCCTCCGCAACCGTCCAGTTCCTCCGGTTGGGAACACGAAGCTCTCCCCGACGTTAACTCGTGAAACCCTCTCCGGGTCTCTGAGCGACAGAGCGTGAGATCTCACAGGAGGAACACGGAGAGGTTGGACGAGGGGCTTAAGGTCACACGGCGGTCGGAATGGGGGACCCCACATGCCCCAGGTCCAAAAACACTCATCCCTTTCCTCTCCTCCCCGCCCGTTCATCTCATTTCTCTCTCCTCAGCTCCCCCTGGGGAAGATAGGAAGGGGCTTCAGCACCAAAGACCCCGATTTTCACGACGACTACGGCTCTCTTCAAAATGAAGACTGTGGAGACGATGACCCCCAGGGCAGGCCGGAGCAGTGCCGTCTGGAAGGCTACAATGGCCTCGAGGTCACCAATGTGTAAGGAAGGGACGCCGCGCCAGGCCCAGCGCCGACACGCCCGCCGAGGGAGAGTCGCCAGAGGCTGGCACCACTCTGTACATAGGGACCGCGGCCGAGGATGCTCCTCTGCTCCCGGACGGAACCCCAGCAGACTGGCGCAGCGTCACACGGGGGCTCCAGGGGGCGAGGAGGCACCTGCTTGTTCCCGCTGGGTGGAAGGACCCGTCAGCCCAGCCTCTCGGCAGCCCAGGCCCCCCCGCAGAGGGACTGTCAGCCGTTGAGCAGTCCACGCGGTCCCCGTGGCCTCAAGCTGAGCTGCCAAGGTGGAAGGAGGCCGGGGGGTCCCCAAAACACCCTCCCGGAAGGAGCGGGTGGAACTCCAGCCGGACACACAGAGCCCAGCGCCAGGACGGGGCGAGGCGCCAGCCAAGCCTGAGGCTGACCCTGGGCACCTGGAGCCCTCCGGCCGGCCTGGTGAGCCCTTGGCTTCGGCTCCGTTCCTCCCATGACTGGGGAACTCGGGTTCTGACTTGGGTCCCTGAATCTCCGCTGGGATTGGGAGGATGCACAGTGAGACGGTCATTCCCTCCCAACCCCTAAAAGTTGTGTGTCACGCGGGGGGTGGACTGTAGAAAAGCTATTTGCCTTCTCTTCCCGCGAGTGGAGGCAGGTGGATGATCCTTGCACGGGTGGGGCTTAGCAGCGACATTTCCAGGAAATGCAGACTTCCTGTCGTCAGGATGAAGGATGTTCTGAGGACAGGAGCCAGCACGGGTGATCGACTCAGTGGCAACCACGTGCAACAGTGGGTTTGGGATTAGGAGCAGGGAAGTGCTTGTCATTGTTTACCCAACAAGCCTCTGTGGTGATGGCTCAGGCACCTGAAACAGGTGTGCTCGCCAGTGCCCTCGCTGAGACGAACCTTGCAGGGCAAAGTCACGAAGGCGGCGGTGCAGAGAACCCCAGCCCCTTCCCGGCCCCGCCACCGTTCTGCTCCGTGGCTCCTTCCCAGGGGCCTCACCTCTCTGTGCCTGAATGTCTTCATCTACGACCCTTCCGGTCCCCTCCCAGGGACACTGTGAGCATTAACACTTGCTAATGTCTGTAACACGCTTTGTAACCTCTCCGGGGACAGGTGGGAAGGTACGGGGACAGAAGGATGTGTCCGGTTTCCCGTGTGGGACACAGAATTGACCTTGAACCGGTTTCCCCGCAACTGGTTGGGCCAAAAGGAGGACAAGGACTGCTTCACGTTCGGACTCTCCAGAGCCCCCAGTAGGGCCCTGACCAAAGAGAGAGATAGAAAGGTTCACGTGGACGACCGTGGAAAAATCCATCTGAGCCACGTGTTCAGGCTCGAGTCCATTGACGTCCGCGCCGAGCGATGATTCGGGGGCACAAACGCATTGGGGTTCTCCTGACGCCTCGGTTGTCAGGGCGCATCATTTGTCGGGACCACAGCGTTGAAGCCTTTCGCACAAGAGCCGAGGGCAGGACTGAATTTCCAAGACTTGAACAGGTGTCAGCCTCCGAGACCCACCAAAGCGCGGGTTCTTCCACCCAAGGAACAGTTTCCTCTCAGGAAGAGCCTAAACCGAGGCCTGATGAACCTGAGAACGATTCCTCCCCAGCGCCCGAGACCATGGTTTTCCCTCTGACGCTAAGATAAGCGCAGCTTTTCTTGCCACTGGAAGCCGAGCGCCCAGCAGGCGGCAGGTGGACGGCCCCTCTCTTGTCTGAATGTGTAGCCTCCCAGGGTCGCATCTCTGATTCCAGGGCCTCAGGGGTGAAGCTCTGGCGTCTAACTTGGCTTTGCTGGGGTTCCAAACCCCGGGATGTTAATGCCATTCGGCCACACAGGCTGCAGAGCCTGCAGCCTGGCAGGGGGAGTAAACCCCCTCCCCCATAGCCTGATGCCGCACACAGGTCACTCCCAAGCCAGCGTCCAGGCTCGGTGACCTGGGACCCCCGGATCTGCCTCTTGGGAAGCAGCAAACCAGACGGGAAATGATTCCCACGGGGTGAGCAAGGCTGGCACACGGGTGCCTGCGTGCAGCTCTGATTGCTTGAAGCCAGCGTTGACCTGAGTTGTCGGAAATGAAGCTTGCATCCCCTCCCCCCTTCAATCCCATGGGGCATGAGATGGGCAAGTGGACAACAAAATTTGCAGCATTCGGCCAACAGGCCCGGGGCAACGTGGACATCAAAAGTACCTTTCAGTCCAAATGCTACCCCGATGGCACCTTCTCGCCGGCCCACCGCTGCTATCCTTGGCGGCCAGCTGAGCGCGTGGAGCTGGCTCTGCAACACGAGGACAGCTTGGTTGATGAGTGAACAACCTCCACAGAGGATCAGATCCCGGGAGCTTCGTCTGCTGAAAAAAAAAAAATCCTAAACGTCAACTCTGCTCTGAGGGTGGGCAAGGAGAGCACGGGGTGCAGACAGACTTGGTGGAGAGATTCGGGTGGCTAATTGACCAAGGCTGGAGGGTGACCACCTGCAGAGCAGCGACCTGCCATGTTCAGCCCAAAGGGGCCTCAAGGGGTGACAGGGCTTCTTGGAAAATGTGAATATGCTTCTTTGGGAGGTGGCACCTGCGCCCATGGGTGCTAGCCCCTTAAAAAGAGGCAGTTGGTGCCAGAGGTTGGGGTGACCCAGAAGGGGGTGGAAGCACCCCACATCTCTCCGAGAAGCTGGGGGCCAGAGCCGTCAGAAGGCACCTGCGCGGCAGACTCAGCTCTCTGCCCCAGACACTTCTGAGAGGCCCCCTGTTCCTTAGCCCCACAGAACCACCTTTCTCCCAGAAATCTGCGTGTCCGTCCTCAGGGCTCAGGCTGTAGGAGGCGGGAGGAGCCACACGAGCATCCGGAGCAGATGCAGGAGAAGGGAAAGGGGCATCTGCAGAGCACGGCCAGCACGGAGGGGCGGGCAGGACAGTGGCCCCCAATCCTGAGGCCCCTCAATAGGGCCACATGTGGCAGGACGTGACTTGCGGGGGGCCCCCGGGGCCCCCCACCGCTCCCACCTGGCCCACCCCCGTCCCGTCCAAAGCCGCACCTTGTGGCACCATCTTTTCCACGCTGCTCTTCGAGGCTCCCACGGGCTCCTGGCGGTTGTGTGGCGAGGAAAGAAGAGCCCGGGACACAGCGGCTTCTGAGGCCGGCGTTGCCAGCAACGGCTGGCTGGCGGGGGAGAGGAACCGCCCCCCGCAGACGGAGTCTGTGGTTGCGAAGGGAATCCATGATCCATGAGCGGAGATGACGGTCTGGGTTCTCTCATCGGGGCCACGGCCCCCGCGTCTTCCCAGGAGTGAATTTTAACACTGTAACAATAAACACTACGGCGCAGAGCTCTGCTGACCAGGTAGCCTTTTGCGACGTGCGTTCTCATTTCATTTTGCCAGCAGCCGCCTTGAGAGAGGGGATTATGGGCCCATTTCATAGGTGGGGAAACTGAGGTTGGGGAGGCAAAGAGGCTTACCCAGCTCCATACAGCTAAGAATTCCTGAGGCAGGGACTCAGACTCGGTCATCTGCCTCCCATCGCAACCCCAGGCTCCTCCGGCCCCGCTGGCACTTCCAACCAGCCCCCGCCGCCGCCTCCCAGTGTAGGACCTACCTCACCAGGTGGCATCGCTCAAAGTGGAGTTCAGATGAGCTCTGTCCCGCTGGAAGAGTCTGGGCCCAACCCCGCTGGCGGGAGGGAAGCATCCAGTAAGTGACCCTTCCCTTAGCATCAGTGGCTTTCTGTGTCCCTCCTCCAGGGGTTCTTTTTCTTTTTCTTTTTTTTTCCAAGGTTTTATTTATTTTTTAATGAGAGACACACAGAAAGAGGCAGAGACACAGGCAGAAGGGGAAGCAGGCTCCATGCAGGGAGCTGATGTGGGACTCGATCCCGGGACCCCGGGGTGAGGCCCTGAGCTGAAGGCAGATACTCCACCGCTGAGCCCCCCAGATGCCCCTCCAAGGGGTTCTTTCGTTTTCGGATTTCCCAGATCAGCTCTCCAGTGCTGGCCTCAGTGAGCTCGGGCTGCCCTGACGAAACATCACAGCCTGGGGGCTCACACAGAGCACATTTCTTTTTCCCAGCCCTGGGGGCTGGGCGTCTGAGGCCAGGATGCCAGCGGCTCCCGCTCCTGGTGAGGGCTCTCTTCCCGGTTCGCAGAAGCTCGCCCGTGGCCAGGGCAGTGGAGGGATGGGGGCTCCCAGAGCTCCTCTGAACTGAGACCTAAGTTCTGAGGACCCAGCCCCGCCAAGACCCGGGGGAAGAACGTTCCAGGCAGTCAGAACCGAGCGAGATGCTGAGGACACGGTGGTGAATTAAGTCCTGCCCAGCATCTGCCCTTGGAGACCTTCCAGTCCGGTGGGGAAAGGGGACACAAATCAAATACTCCTCCAGAATGTGAGAGTGTAACTGTGACCAGTCTTGAGAGCGGAGGTCTAGTGGGAGGGCTTCCCACACGGGCATTTGATGTGGTCAGAAGGAGGAGAGGCCTGGCCGGAGGAGAGGTCAGCCGCAGAAGGAGAAAGGGAAAAGGGTTCTAGATCGCCAGGACAGCATGTGCAAAGGTCCCAGGGTAAATTGGGCTGAAAACAGGCTGGGAGAAAGAAGTGAGGGGCTCATCTCCGGCGAGCGCTGGAGGGGCAGGTGGCATCTGCCCATCTGGGTCACCCCCAATTGCAAGCAGTGCTTCCTAACTGGACATGAAGCTCCCACTTTCTGCACACGTGTCCCTCTTTCCCTTTGACTCATCGCCAAATTGGGCTCCTCGGGACACAAAATGACACAGTGGGCCCAGGAGGGGGCACCGGGGCTGTCCGGGCAGAGCTGGCTTGAGGCCAACAGAGGCGTCAGGTGCCTCTTTCACGACCCCAGGTAGAAATCTGAGATGTCTATGTTAAGCCAGGCCGGTCAAAAGATGTACTGATGGTTTCTACGAGCAAGGGGAAAAGCCTGGAAGGAAACGCCATCAAACTCCCGATTAGATGGGGCCTGCAGAGCTTCTTCCCCGGGAGGGTTCCGTGGTGGGGCTGAGGTAGCCTGGGTCGCCCTGAGGGTCTCTGAGCCTCGCCAGGCCCCCCAGGGGAGGGGGCCAAGTTCTCAAACACAATGAGCAGCTGGGATTTGGTTTGTGTGTCCTTGCCAGCCGCCCACCATCCGCTAAGCGGGTTGCACGCGTGGCCCGTTTCACCCCGAAGCCCCCCCGAGAGGCACGTACGTTAGCACCTCCGTTTTACCAATGAGAAGACAGACACGGTGAGTGGGGGAGGCACTCGTGTCCGTCCGCAGACACCCCACCTGGCTTGGCCCTGCCCCTCCGGGTGCCTCCCCGACGTGGGCCCACCTTCCAGAAGGGATCCTCGGGGGAGCACCAGTGGATTCCCGGAGAAGCCTTGCTTGGTCTGCCCTCTCTGTCTGTGACCCAGAGGACGGAGCCCGGGCTTCCTCCTAAAGGTTTGCATTAAGGCTGTTCATGTGGCACCCGTGACCCGACCACGTCCCCCCATCCCGCGTCCGACGCGCACTCCTTGTGGGTTGAACAGGTGAACAGATAGAAAACAAACAAATTTAAATTCACGGAGGGAGACATGCAAGACGCAGTGCAGCCGTGCCATCCAAGAGGTGGCCACAAACTACAGGGGGCTGTTTAAATGATTAATTAATATTAAGTGAAATTTAAGCTTCCATTCCTCAGTCCCCCCCCACCACCACCACCACCCCGCACATTTCAAGCCCTCGTCGCTGCCTGGGGCTGCCGGCTGCCTGCTGGGCAGATCCAGCACATTCCCACCAAGGCAGAAAGTTCAGGCTGCTACAGCGTCCAGAGGGAACTTAGCTTACTACCCAAACACGGCCTCATTCAGAAGCTCACGGTTGCGGGCTCTCTAGAGAAAAACATAACTGGGGGAAAAAGGATTTTAGGGCAGGTGGGACTTCTGTATGAGCCAGTGAACGGAGATAGAAACTCACTGCAGAAACTGGCTTAAAAGTACAAAGCAGGGGACACCCGGGGGGCTCAGTGGTTGAGCATCTGCTTTTGACCCAGGACGTGATCCTGGGGTCCCGGGATCGAGTCCTGCATCAGGTTCCCTGCAGGGAGCCTGCTTCTCCCTCTGCCTGTGTCTCTGCCTCTCTCTGCAAGTCTCTCATGAATAAATAAATAAAATCTTTTTAAAAATTTTTTAAAAATACAAAGCAATGTACTGACTGGCGTCTGAAAAGCACAGCCCAGGACCGTGACTGTGACTGTGACCGGCTTTGGATGTGGCTGGATCCAGGGCGTCAGATGATATTTTGGGATCTTCATCGCCCTTCATCTCTTGGCTTGGCTTTTCTCTATATCAGGGCCATGCTCAGACAGGTTGTCCCCACTGTTGGCAAGTGACCACGAGACACACAACCTCCCAGCTGAGCAAGCCCTGCATGAGAGAGAGGCTCTCACCTGGTAGTTCTAGCACAGTCTCCGTGGGATGGGGTCTGCAGCACCCCCGGGTGGGGGCAGCCTACCGGGGCACATGTCCTGAGCAGATGAGTGGCTCTTAGGGGACTCCAGCAGACAGGTGCTTTCGTGTGGCCCGAAGGCTTCCTCCTTCCCGGACGGAGGTCTCCTCTCCCTAGCAGTGGGGCAAGCACAGACCCCAGGGGAGAGCAGCCCCCTGATATTCACGGGAGGAAAGAAATTCGAGTCCCGGCGCCCAGCAGCTCACAGAAGCACCAGAGACAGACTCAGGGGTTCCAGGTCGGACCCAGAGGTCAGACCTAACAACAGACAGCCTCGACTTGCCCTGTCCTTTTACCGCGGGGTCTCCCGACCTCGGCACCATCGACATTCGGGACGCGCGTTGTCAGGGGCCTGCCCTGTGCACTGCAGGATCCTAAGCGGCATCGGGGCCTCTACTCAGGAGATGCGGGCATCACCCCCGCTCCAGGCCTGGCAACTCCCACATTCTCCCAGATGTCGCCAAACGTCCCCTGGGAGGCAGAAGCGCCCCGGTTGGGAATCACAGCTGCACATGACCACGGCTTTCAGAGAGGCATGGCTTTTCTTATCTGACAGATAGGGAAACTGAGGCATGGAGCGGTCACATAGACTCCCAGGGTCCTGGACGAGCGAGTGGGAGGGGAGGAGCCGAATGGCTCTTGGCAGAGTCTGGGCTCGGAACCAACCAACGGCCTGAGGCTGGCCGGCCGCACCCAGCTGTTTACAATTAAAAAAATCCCTAAAGCCAGATGTTCCCAGGGCAGAGCAGACTTCCTCCGTAGTAGGTTCTAGTTTATAGGGCGCTCCATCCCCCCACCCCAACGCACCCGGCAGAAAATCGCTCTGTAAATTACATGTTTGAAGGCGGCCCCGTGAGCTCCCCACTTAAAACAAGGTAGTAATTTAGGGGCGAGAAGGGTCTGGTTGAATGAGCTCCTATGGGAGCTAATCTCACACCACACCCCCACCACCCCCATTTCATTAAAACACAAACAAACAAAAACGATAAGGAAGGAGCATAGGTTTTGGATGCTTGCCCTAGACCTCGCGGCAAATTAGACGGTGCCTGAGAGCGGCCTCCCCCTTCCAACCCTGCTGGGAGCCTGACCCCCCCCAGCCCCACCCCAGGCTGACCGGCCCCCCAGGCTCGGCACAGACAGGCTGTGGGGCCTGAGGCCAGTTCCCTTCCCCATCCGCGCGGAGCATGCTTTCCCCTCCTCTGCCCTCACTTCTCAGGGGTGGGGCGACCCTGGTCTCCTCCTGCCCCCGCTGCCCGCACCCCAACCCCCCCACCCCTACCCCCATCCCTGCCTTCAGGGAGGTCTCGGGATCCGGCTGCAGGGAGTCCAGCCCCGCGGCCCCCAGGCGATGCAAATGGCCCTGAGATCTGAGAGGGAAAGTCCGCATGCTTACCCAGATGGTCCAAAATAGGGACCTTTCGGGTCTTGGGCTGTAAGATGGGCCCCAGAGTTACAGGCTGCCGCGTCCCTCCCACACTCGGACAGCCCAGGGGATGGGACTGACCCAGGGCCACAGTACAAGACGGTTGCATTCCCCGGACCAACCTGTCCCTGCAGACCCACCCCTGCTTCCTGAGTCCTGGGGGTGCCAGCCTCTGCCCCCCTGCACTCGTTTGCTAGGGCTGCCATAACAACGTGGCTTAAAAATCGAAATTTAATTTCTCACAGTTCTAGAGGCTAGAAATCCACCATCAAGGTGTCAGCAGGGTTGCTTTCCTCTGAGGCCCCTTTCCTTGGGCGTGTGGTGGCCGTCTTCCCCCTGGTCCTCACGCGTCTTCCCTCTGTACCTGTCTGTGCCCCGGGTCCCTCTTCTCACAGAGACACCAATGG